CAGGCCGAATGGTGGATTGTTCACTCATGGACAGTTGTAGGCAGAATCGCAGATAATTAAGTTTGGTCATTTACCTCCTCTCAAATGTTAATGCGTAAATTGGGCTCCCGTCAAATTAATGCAATGTGTGCCCTGCTACCCACCTCCATTCTTTCCTTAACAAAAGTCCTCTTCCCATACTACTTCAAGAAAAGTTTTCATAGAATAAAATCTGATCTTATTATTTAAATAACTACATAACTATCAGGATAAATTCTAAACTTCACTGATTTGCATATAAGGTTCTTCACCTTATGCCCCATGCTACTATTTTTAGCCTTAAGAGTCTATCATATATCTACTTACTTTGCCATGATCAAATTGCTCTACCATAGATCTAAAAAAAAAATATGTCCTATTTCTCTATCCTACACTATCAGTTCCGAGTCTATGGAATTCACCTCAGTTTACCATCACTTCCTTAGAGAAGTCTTTGAATACCAGAAACATCCTTCCCAACACAGCTCAGTCAGAGTAGAACATTCATCTCTTGTACATTCTGTTATCTTGTACATCTTTGGCAAGCCATATTTCAATTATTTTACTTATCTGGTGTAACCATTAGACTAATAACTCCATGAGGAGACACATTATGCCTTGATCATATTTGTTTGCTCAGAGCCTCACATAGTGCTTGACACATGGATGAATGAATAATTAAAAGAGTGGATCAATGAAAAGTTAAATATCTCCACCTACCTTCCAGCAGTATGGTCTCTTCTTGATGCATTGCAAGAATTCTGAGCAGCAATGTTCTTGGAGTCTCATGGCTGTTATTCCAGCACAATATATGTCATTCCAAAGGATTACTTTAGGTTTTAAATACTTATCAGTTGTGACCTTGCATTCTGTAATCTTGTTTTTTATCTTTCACAAAAAGTATACCTAACTTCTCAAAACCAAACCAAAAGAGTATGGGTTGTATTTGTGTCTTTTTGAATTCCCATTTGTATAACCGACAAAAATGCAAGGTTCTTTGATCAAAATTCACTGATATGGATATGTGTACATTTGCCACTAAAATTTTGACCCTGTAATGCACTGGATGATTTTTATTGCCCATGTATCTCTATTCCTGATAACATCCCTGGAGTGAGTACGAAATGTTAATCATGCCCAAATGCCAGAAAATATAAGGGCTTTCCCCCTATCTTCATATTATGTATGAATAAAAACTTCCTATAAAGTGGTAAAAAAAAAATAAAATAAAATAACCTCATTACAAAAGCCACTTCAAAGCAATAGTGTTTTCTAGAAAATGCACAGATTTGCTATGCAACAGCATGGTTCTTTTTCAAATTCTAAGGAAAGCTAATAACAAAATTCATTTTAATCATATTGAAGTACAAAAACTGGGCAAAAGGAAAATTATTTTATAAAGAATGTTAAACTTTTGAAACAAATATTGAAAAGCATGCCAATTCAGTTAGGAATTGAGCCTCCAGAAAGCAGGAAAAATAATCATAGAAGGTTAATATTAAGATTGCTCCCCTGTTGTGCTTAGATATTGGCAGTTTAATCCTTAGCTGTGCCCAGCTTCTGTATGAGAATTGGCCTCTGTCCTCTGCATTTTCATGTTTGCATATTTATTTGTTTGTACTAGGAGTGAAAATTTACGATGATCATTTTAGTTATTAAAATTATGTAGGATCTCATATTTAACATCAACTCCAGGTCAGGTATGATCCACTATTCTTTTCGGTGTGTTTCCTTTCAGTCCCAAAAAACATTCAACAAATCATAGTAAAACTGTGCTTGCTTAATATTTTAATAAATATGTGAGTGGATGTGTGCTGTTAAAAGAAGGGATTTGGATATATGTGATTAAATTATTTTTATTTTTCATCCATACTTGTTATTGTTAACATTAAATTTTGAAATTAATTTAAATGTTTTGGGGATAAATTAGAAATAGAGTTACCATTTGTTTCAAAGTATGAAAAAACAAACTTAGTGATATAGTTGGTTTGGGTAAAGATGTGAAAAATGAATACATTTACTTTTATATCAAATTACTTCATATCTCTATAGTATTACATTTTAGTATAGCCTAGCATACTAATAGTTGCTCTAAAGTATGAAAATGAATGAAGAAACCATGCTGCTTTTGTACTCTAATGTTATGATAATTATTGTAACTTCTCTATAATTCAGTGTAATCTCACTTTCCTCCAATATTAAATGATTAAAGTTGCTTCCTCCTCCCACCTCAGTCAATCATAGCTGCCCTGATGATCAGTTTAAATGCCGAAATAATCGCTGTATCCCCAAGAGATGGCTTTGTGATGGAGCTAATGATTGTGGCAACAATGAAGATGAATCCAATCAAACTTGCTCAGGTAAAGATTTGCTTGTATGTGTATGTAAATCTCCTCCAAACTTCATCTCCATAAAAATGCAGGTCAGTGATTTGAACTAAGCTGAACTTTCTCAGTGCTGATGATCTGATTATTGCAGTAGTAAATGAATTCAGAGTTTGATGCCACAGAGGACAGAATACAAATTATCTTTTATTTAATCCTTGGGTATAACTCAGCTTTCCAAAGTAATTTGGCACTTCATGTATCCATATGGTTTGACTGTCAACTTACTACTTGGACAAAACTTGTCCCTGCTAAATCTTACTTGGCAGTAGAGTTGGAGGTTTGTTAGCATGCTGTGATGTAAGCCATCTTTCAAGGAGGACTTTTCTTTTTTACCTTGAAGAAATAATTTATATATTTTATTTAGTCTGCCCTGAAATATCTCTCTGAATAGTTTTCTGTTCATGACACATTATGTATGTGGGTAGTTTTTTTT